GAGAAACGGTGAGAAATCTTCTAAAACGGTCGTTTAGCGTGTGGTTGAATGTCAGAGTGAGTATGAAGAAGTGTGCGAGAAATACCGACCTGCGTCAACGCCATGGTGGTATTTTGTCGACTTTTATGAACGCTTTGGGGAAATAACTAGCGGAAAAAAAGACGTTGCATCGGGGCGAGAGAAGAAAATTTTTCGAATTCACAATGGATTCCACACTTTTGAGTGCACTTGTGGCTGGAAGTATGGCTCTCAGTTTTCTTTCAACAGACACCGATAACATAATCTCTATGAGATGTTTCTGGAAATCTGAACGCACGGCAATTTCTCATACCAAGAAGATGAAAAGAGCTTTTAAGCAGCCATTCTTCGCAATAGAGTTCAGTGATCGATGGCCCAACTGAGTTTGACACCATTCACTACGCAAAAGTTAGACGAAAACTTTTCATCATCCAGGCGAGCGACTTTATTTGACAGATTCTGCAAGCCATCAATTTGATTGATCAGATCTCTCAGTTTCACAATGCAGTATCAAAAGTTGAATATAAACATGTGAAGCTCCTAGATTCAAAATAGATAACGCAGTAAAGACAATAAATATATAGACTTAAAGTAAGTGCTTATAGTGATTTTCGTAAATCAATCTACTTTTTCTGACAGAACATACGACCGAATGTCTTATCTCATGTGAATCAGTTGATTTTGATCTGCAAAACTACTTGTTGAGTTTTTTTCTAATTTCGTTTCTTTTTGCTGAAATAATCGAACATTCTCACACTTCCACGTATGGGTTCAGGTGAAAAATGAAGACTCATATCAACACCCTTATCTAGATGGACTTTTCAGTGTTTGAAGTTTGTTGCAAAAAAGAAGAAATCCTATTGAAACAAAGAGTATACATTTGTAACCAACGCTTCAAGTACTATCAGATCATATATGTATAAATGAATAGAAAGTTAAAGTCACTCTAATTTGTTCATTGTGTGCAGCGTATATGAATACTGTTATGTTCTACTTTTATTATACTTGTTTTAAGGGCAAATCATGGGTTCGAATATGTAGAACATAAACGTTTGTTTATTTCTTAAACTTAAAGAATCACCACCGGTACATAATATCGCATGCATATATATATATATATATCATCAAAGAAGAAGAAAGAAAAGAGAATAGATGAACAGTACATATATATATAGATGTCAGGACATAACACCCTACCCCATTGAGAAAAAAAAGATTTTTAGATACAGAGAAAAATTCTTTTTTTTTTTTTATAGAAAATAACAACATGTCTTTAACATCATATATAA